TACTCTGAATGACTCTTCACTAATGATTTCGCATACATAGACTTGGTACTGTTTGTACATACCACTGTCTTACACCCGAAGTATACGGAGTCGCAACCCAATGCAGACTGACTTCTAACCACAAAACAGCTGTCTTTTATAGACAAAAGTTGTTATGATGACGTAGAAACATCAGAAACCAATAACGTCACAATCAATATCTAATTTGTAAGTTAGCGGGTTTTAACCACTAAAATTACTTAATAACGTTGTACCTATATAGAACATATACAACATAATGCTTTGTAATTACAATACATAAATCAAATTGATAAAGTTCAAATAATAAATCATTGTTCATTTCTTTCGTTCATTGTTCATTGACAAATATTTTAGTAGTTTATACACATCGGGTTCAGGGTCCGTTTATTCGGAACTTGTCAACAACAGTTAATCCGAATTTCACAGGTAAACTTATCGGAACGTAACAATATATATATATATATATATATATATATATATATATATATATATATATATATATATATATATATATATATATATATATATATATATATGTATGCATATATATTATCAAGCTAAAAATTCCATAGTAATACAGCTTCTCTATTGTTTATACCATGTATGGTAATTATCAAAGGATCAAAAGTTAATTTGAAGGTCACCACAAATGCCAAACAATGTGTACAGGGTATACACAGGGACTTGTAAGTAAATGCCAATCAAGTTCTAGCACCCAATGATGTACCTTAATGCACTTGATTGACAGGGGTACACTGACCAGGTATTTTTGAAGGCGGTCCTTAAAATCTCTGCCTTTAACAATAGTTATTTCCATTCATATGTTACCTTGATATACTGAAATAAAACACATCACAGAGTCTGCCACATCTGTTTCATTATTTATTGACTATAAACGACAAAGGCCAACTAACAACTAAATTATATGACAAACAAGATGACTTCAGCTTTTGCATCGTCAACTTTCCTTACTTATTTAATAATATTTCGCTATCACATGCATATGATGTTCATGTCTCCAACTTATTCGCTCCTCAAGAGCATGCTCTGAGTACGATCAATTTTTAAACCGAGGCAGGCTACTCACACAAAAGTTGATGCTACAGGGATTTCAACAACCTCGTTTAAAGTAAGCATTTCGAAAATTCTTTGGCCGTTATAATGACCTTATAAGCAAATATAACCTGTCACTGGGTCGTATTTTGGCTGACTTGTTTCACACCAATTGTTAGGCCTTTGTTTTGTACTATATTTAATACATAGGGCTCACGGCGGGTGTGACCGGTCAACAGGGGATGTTTACTCCTCCTGAGCACTTCATCCCAGCTCTGGATTTCCAGGGGTCCGTGTTTATGCCCTGTTCACGTATTTGTATTGCTTTCAGTTTTTATGAGATAGATCACTGTTCAATATCTTCACCTTTTTTCTTTCTTATTATTACGACTTATCTTATGGTAATAAGAAAGTTTCTTTTTGTTGTAATGCTTGAACATATTTCTGCTGTCTTTAAATCAACATTTAAAATTTAATTTAATACTTCTGGGTATTTAATTTTTTAAGAATGCATGTCCTCGGCGAAGCGTAAGAACATCACACTTCAGTATTATAGTTCTTCTTTAAACACGAAGTCAAATACAGAGAAACAAATATTTTCCTCAGACCTAGTAAATTTGACCCCGAAAAATAACAGATTTCACAGCATTTTTTCTCGCCATATCTGGTATTTTTATCATAGAGATAGCTTGGACTGAATCAAGAGTGTTTACTTGTTACAGTTTAATTATATTTGTATTTTGGAATTATGTCAGAAAAATTTATTCCATGCTCGATTTATTATTTATTCATTATTATTATTGCTTCATTTCATGTTGGTCAAAGTAACATATTTATCTTTCAACATTCATGAACAGTGTTTAACACGTGTATTGAAAGTTTCTTCTGGGAATATATCCTGTCCCTTGAATTTCACTGCGTGTTTTTTTTTCAAGTAAAAGTAAATAATCAGTAAGAAAGACACACAACTTGCATTCTGTAACTGAAATATCCTAAGTTTACTTGAAATAGATTATCATAATATATTCAGGGCCTTGATATAGATTTCACTGATATTTGTTGTGAATACCGATATAGAGCAATATATGGGTTTTGTCACAGCGTGTGTCTGTAATCTTCTTATTTTTTGAAACTCAACAGTCATGTTTTGTACTAAAGGTATTTTTGTCTAATATTTTTTTTAATCCAGTGATTGATTATTAAGGTTAAACATACATGGAAATCCAAATTCGAATAATGCATCACCAATTTTTTTTCCAGCGTTTTTGCCTGATGTCGACTGTTAAACAGACAATATTTTTAGTATTTTTTGGAGGATGGGGAGGGAGATTTACAATGAAAATATCAAATTAACAAAAAAAAAAATGTAATTTACCTGAAGTTTTGCTGCTAGCAAATGTTTTTTGGGTTCTTTTTTAGGAGATTTACCCCTTAGAAATTTTCTAATGAACTCAAATTTATTTTGATTACGCTGGATTAACATTTCTTGATTCCTTACATAATAATTGATTGCTTCCGCCAGACAAGGTTTTAGGAAGCTAATAAATCTTTACCATAAGAGAGTCATACATCTTTTCAAATTAAAGTAATTCCTAGAAAGAATTTGATCAATGACTTTTTCATGAGTGTTCTCTAAATTCACCCAGCCAGAAGAAAAGTACACATATATCAGTCCCCTATTTTAAATGAAGCAAGATGTGTTTGTGAAATACTGATGCCCCCGTATGGCAACTTATAGCAAAGGTTAAACTTTCTCAAATGCAAATCAAATATGTTGGTACCCAAAGTAAGGTCTTTTCTCGAGGAATATACCTGTGAAATATGAAAGCCCTAGCAGCAACCATTGAATAGTTATGTAAAAGGCTAAAGTAATTCAAACATCAAGGTCAAATGGTCAAAATTAATGGTGCCTATGGAAAGGCCTTCTCACAAGAAATATACAGGTGAAATATGAAAGCTGAAGCACCAATCGTTCAAAAGTTATGACCAAGGTTAAAGTGTTTCAAAAGTAGGTCAAACTCCAAGGTCAAGGTCAATGGATTACAATTGTTGGTATCCAAAGGAAGGTCTTGTCACAAGAAAAAAAACATATTAAATATGAAATCCCTAGCAACAACTTTTCAAAAGTTGTATCCAAGGTTAAAGTTTTTGAAAAGTAAGTCAAAGTCCAAGGTCAAGGTCAAAGGGTCAAAGTTGTTGGTATCCAAAGGAAGGTCTTGTCACAAGGATCATATGTGAAGTATGAAAGCCTTAACACCAACGGTTCAAAAGTTATGGCCAATGTTAAAGTTTTACAAAAGCAGGTCAAACTCACAGGTCAAGAGGTCAAAGTTGTTGGTATCCAAAGGAAGGTCTTGTCACAAGGATTACATATGCTAAGTATGAAAGCCTTATCACCAACCGTTCAAAAGTTATGGCCAATGTTGAAGTTTTTCAAAAGTAGGTCAAACTTCAGGGTCAAGGTCAAAAGGTCAAATATGGTGGTACCCAAAGAAAGATCTTGTCACAAGAAACACACAAACACATGCGAAGTATGAAAGCCCTAGTACCAATCGTTAAAAAATTATGTCCAAGGTTAAAGTTGGGAAAAATTTTGCAAAACTGGGTCAAACTCCAAGGTCAAGGTCAAAAGGTCAAATATGGTGGTACCCAAAGAAAGGTCTTGTCACAAGGAATACACATGTGAAATATGAAAGCCAATCAAAAGCTATGGGCAATGTTAAAGTTTTTGCGGACAAACAGACAAACAAACAGACAGACAGTTAGACAGACGGACGGACAGGGCAAAAACTATGTACCCCCGAATCTTCGATATGGGGACACAAAAAGAATACTCTTCATACTCTAAATGTTGCCGAAATCATTTGTTTGACATTTTTAAAAACGTGATTAGCTACTAGGTATTATGAATACTCAATTGTGGGAATTTTTATTTTCTTAAAGATCATATTGCATGGCTGTAAAGACATTCAGTTTTCTTTGTAAAATTTTATAACAATGAATGTTGAAAAGAAAAAAAAATATTCTGAAATTACTCATAAAATGGCACTATACTTTACCACATTAGCTGATGCCATTTCTTTCAAATCTGCAAATATTGACATTTAAAGTGATGCTAGGCAACAGGAAAATTTCTCCTATTCGGACCGTATTTTTTGTTACCCTATATCCTTGACATATTTAAGCATTCCATTATATTCTTAAGTTAGATATCGGGTCATACTTTTGAAGCGAACACAGATAAAATGTCAGAGTCGACTTTGATTTAATTTTTGTAAAGTCAAATGTCAAGTGAAAAATTTAAGCAACATTTTGGACATCGTTCATACATTTCACTAATATTTAGCGAATACTGATATTGAAAAAGGGAATTCTGAACATTTAAGAAATAAATAACAAGTCTAAAAACTTCAATAAGAAATGAAGTCGGTCGGTCAAGTGATCAAATCCTGTGAAGGCAGAAGGAAGTTTTTAAACTTGTTATTTATTACTTATATATACATTTGAGACATACAATCGAATATTATCGAATATAAATATTGCACTAAATGTTCGTCGTAGATTTTGACGCAAGGTGTAAATCGGCTTGAAAAGCGGTTACGCTTCAAATTCATCTGGCAAAAGATTCTGTTTTGTATGGAATCCGGATAGGGCCATGCAGTTCACTATCGCATCATCGCACCATCGAGGTCTGAGTCGATAGTGCGATGACGCGATAATGCGATGACGATGAAGCGATGGTGCGATAACGATGAAGCGATGGTGCGATAGCGCGATGCCGATGATGCGATGGCACGACAATGCGATGACGATGATGCGATGGTACGATTAAGCGATAGCGCGATGACGCGATGGCACGATAGCGATGATGCAATGGTGCGATAGCGATGATGCGATGGCGCGATACTGATGGCGCTATGCTATATCGTGTCATCGTTATTGCTTTATCGCACTATCGTCATCGTGTCATCGCACCATCGCTCTATCGACTAGTACTTTCTATAACCGGATAACATTCCCAGCAGTCATTGCACAACATGGCGTTTGTTGACGAAAAGATTCAAGAATATTTCTTTAACGGATACGATAATAAAGAAATCATATTCCTTCTTTGGAGTAATTATGGTGTGAAAATAAGGTAGGTATTATTAATTGTCATAAGTGATGATAATACAAGTACCTGTATAGGCTAATATTTTCTCTAAGAGTAATAAAGTTACTATACATTAAATTTATAGTCTCATTCAAAGATTGTTTATATGCGTGTTCTACTTGCATATATATACATGTATCTGTTATTTAAGAAATAGTGATTGAAGTTAAAATCTCCCATTTTAAGATATATTTTATGCATTATTTTTTTTTAAATACTTAAGCTGTAGACATTTGAAAAGGCGCATGACCAGACTTAATTTGAGAAGACGGAGATCATACAATGTGGATATGGCAATAAGGGCTATTCAGGTAATATTGCTTGTGTTTTATTTCATCTTTCTTTTTTGATAGATTGATCAAATCTAGAAAAATCGTCAGTAACATCTATATTTTGATGATTGCTCATTATGTTTTAGTTAACTCATACAAATGTCAAAAATTTCATATGATTTACATATATTCTACTCAAAGGAAGAAATGATGTTCAGTGGACAGACTCTTGGGTGTCGTTTGATGAAACGAAGACTTCTTCAGAAACATGGCATCTTTATAGGAAGGTATATTATCTTATTATGATTAATAAACAGAATTCAAACGATGTGCCTATTGTTTATAATGAGTTTTATATCAATAAGATATTTATCATAATTTCATTGAATTCATTTTTTTTTGTTAAAGTGTAATGGTTAGATTTAAAATCGTTGATGATTAATTATATATATATACTGTTCCAGGGATAACATGTTGTGTTTATTGAGAATAATCGATCCTGATGGAGTTGATCTAAGAACAAGTCACTGCTTGACAAGAAGAATGTATCTAAACAATGGACCAAATTATCTTGCACATGTTGATGGGTACTACAAGTTGAAGCCATTTGGCTTCGCTATACATGGTGCAATGTGATCAAATCTAGAAAAATCGTCAGTAACATCTACATTTTGATGAAAGCTCATTATTTTTAATAACTCCTACAAATGTTAAAAATTTCATATGATTTACATACATTCTACTCAAAGCAAGAAAAGATGTTCAGTGGACAGACTCTTGGGTGTCGTTTGATGAAACGAAGACTTCTTCAGAAACATGGCATCTTTATAGGAAGGTATATTATCTTATTATGATTAATTAACAGAATTCAGGTTTCTTGTTCAAAGTATTAATTTTATTTCTTTAATTCAGCAGAATGCCAATTATACAGAATATTTGCTGACATTACTTTTATGAGCTTAAGGACATACACAACATAGTGTTGGAATTTTATTTTCTTATTCCCTTGTTGATTTAATTAAGAGTTCAATAATTGAAAAACCTTTGTACAATTTAATGATTCCTGTAAATGCTGTTATCACCTCTGAAGCAAATGTTGAGGAAATACCAGCTAAAACTATATTTTTGTTAATTTTTTTCTTTGAGAAAATACAATGATTTTCATCATTTGACAACTTTTGAAAACACCTGGTAATGTATGCTTTTTTTTTTGTCTTAAAACATCTGCTGAGATTCTATAATTTTAAATTAGGAATATCCTGGAAAATAGTTGGTAAGGTACATGTAAATGCAAGTTGCATATGACCTTAAGAGGCAATAATGCTTTTCTTAGTCAAAATTTGCAATTTCTATACTACTTGACATGTATTTCTAACTCAACCCTTTAGTTTCCTTTTCTTTCAGAAGGTACATCTGAAATTAATCTAAACATGCTCTTGGCGTACTGGACTGGAGCTGATACAATCCACTAGGATTTCACAAAAAGCTTGAAATTAAATTTGTAGAAGACCCTGCCTGTTTGCCAGTTGCACATACCTGCGATCTTTTGTTGGAAATATCTAGGGGAGAACCCCTGAGGAATTTCACAGAAAAATGTAGTTGGCAATGACTTGGGGGGGGGGGGGGATTCCATCTTGCTTAAGAAAATAACTTTATGTATTCAATGCTATATCTATGTTTAGAAAGTTTTCATTCAATTAATTTTTAAACTCAATAATGGCAGTGATAGTCATATTAAGGAATAAGAGTATTTCTTAAGGGAAAGATAATACTAAAAGACATTGATAATCATATGAGGAGCATTTCTTCAGGGAAAGATAATACAAAAAGACATTGATTTTTGTATGGGAATATTAATTGATATTTGGTGCATTTGTGGTAGTAAACATGCTTTTGAATTTTAAATTCTAGATTGTTGCATCTGTATGCCAAAAAAGTTTTTCTCAGAGAAGTTTGCTTTCCTTATATCCTCATTTTGCAATTTTCATTAATAATTGTTCTAATGAATATGGCATGTATGGTGACCCAATTAACATAGTAATAATTTCTGTTTGTGACTTTTAATTCATACACTTAGATGATTAGTGTACAACATTTTTCATGAAAATTGAAAAAAAAGTCAAGTGAAACATCAGGTGATGATTTATTCTCTAATCTTAATTTGGATTTTACAACTTTCCAACCAAGTACTTCAAAGCCTCCATGGCCTTCTCAGTGGTGTTTGGAACAGTTCTCCCACCCTCCAAAAGCAAATGATCAAAGTATGCTGCATTGTCCTCACAACATCCTGTCGAGCTTGGACTAGGAAATAATCTTTGAAACTCTAGCACGTCATGAATATCCACTGGAAATTTATAATCTACTGCACCTGTACATAAAAAAAATGAAGTCATAATGTGTTGGTACTGTTTTAAATTTGAGCACTGAAAAACAACCAAGGTATCGAAGGAGAAAGGTAAACACAGAAAAATATTCAAATTAAAGTTAGTGATTAAAAAATATTTGCTAGGAAAAATACCAAAAATTTTAGGGTGGAAAAACATCATTTCTGGTTTTTCCTGGGAGACTTCCATCATCATCATTATGATAGCGTCTTTGTGCTCTGATGTAATGGTTATTCCATTCTGTTTTTATTTGATCAAGTTCTTGTCGAATGATTTTCATAAAACAAAAGCGAAGGCATTCTCTAAATTGCATGCAGAAATATCATAATAGGTTATAATCACATAAATTCTTTAAGTATAAATAAAGAATTTATTTCTCTTCTTACATGTGCTCTTTATTTGCTGATGAGAACATCCCTTGGTCTTTCATGTTTTTGAACAAGTGTATCCAGAAGGAGATGCCCATCTCTCTCAGTGTTCTCCACCAGCGTTCAATTCTCTTAAATCAAAATGTGTTTTTGAAAAACTGAAGGCTGATTTTTCAAAAGTAGGTCAAACTTCAAGGTTATTGAGTACAAATGTTGGTACTGTCACAAGGAATACACAACTTCCCTAGGACCAACCGTTCAAAGTTGTGGCCAAGGTCAAAGTTTTACAAAAGTAGGTTAAACTCCAAGGTCAATTATTATAATGATAGTACTCAAAGACAGATTTTTTTTTACAAGAAATACACTTGAGAAATATGAAATCTCTAACATCAACCATTCAGAAGTTATGTCCAAAATTAAAATTTTTTCACAAGAAGGTCGAACCCTATGGTCAAGGTCATTACGTCAAAAAATGTTGGTGCATTAAAGTCTTTGCAGATAAAAATACAGACAGACCCAAAGCTATATGGATAAGGCCCCCGAATCTTGAATCATAGGGGCATAAAACAATCACATAAATATATCATATATAAATTCATAATGATACAGAAACAATAATTTGTATATCAGATTATGTGCAGAGATATTTTAAATCATTAAACTGACTTCATTTTCAAATATTTGACAACAGGTTTCTTGAAAGGGGTATAGAAAGGGGTATGGGAGGGTTATCCCTCCCCCAGGTCAGAAAATTTATAATAAAAATGCATACAAGTCTGTTGCATTCTGGGGGTAATTTTTTTTCAAATATATAATAAACAAATAAATAGCAAAACTTTAAACAAAAGATTGGTGTTTTCAGGGGTTGCAATTGCATCCATGCCCCTCCCCCCCCCCCCTTAATGGCTCTGTAGTATAACTAATACTATAAAAAGAACTGTGTCACCTTGAACTCTATTAAATGAAACTGATGCAAATAATGAAAGTATGAAGTTTGCAAAATTTATTATTTTTAAAATTATCTGTGGTATCAGATTACACAATGACGCCTATGAAAGATAATAATATGAAGAATTTTTTTTTTTTTTTTTGGTCTTTGAAAAGTAATAGTGAAAATAATCAGTCGATCTATTTTCCCTCAGGAAAAATGTTCAGATAAGTAGAGAGTTTGAAAAGAAACTTAATTAAGGATTACACATACAAATTTTTAAAGTATTCAATTACTTCAGTTATTTGATCTTATATCAAGTTGGGACTTACTGAATTGACTGTGATTAGTAGACTATTCAGATTTGATCAAGTCCCCCCCCCCCCCCCCCCATTTTCAAATCAAAGTGCAAATTACTCTAACTTCTACTGCAGGAGTGTTAACTGGAATTGGAACTCAATCCTAGGTGTGCAGATTTTAGAAGGTTATTAAACTCATCTGATTTGTTTATGCAATATAAGTTACTGAATCATATTGTTATTTAAAAAAAAGCTTCATATTCATACCTGGTTAGACATTGATCTTCCTTTGATTACACTATTTTCTCCAAACATGTCATCATTATCGTACCAACGGAAGGATTTTTGAATTTCCTCAATGTATATATTCTCAGTTCCAGCATCAAGTCTCACACCTTGGAGCACCTATGTATTGGAAAACTCATACTACCATGAACTGAGACAAATATGGTTTCTTTGTTCAAGTAAATATTTTTTACAAAATAATGCATTTTATGTGTATTTATTCTGTATCAATACAAAATAATGTATTTAGAATGTTACTTAGTAGAAAATTAACTTGTGAAAATTGAACTGCATTTACAGTTTTCAGGAATATATTTATCAATGATTTGTAAAAATTATATACTCAACTATTTATTTCCTCCAGGAATTTCAAGAAATATGATGCTACAACAAAGGAGTCATTGTTTGTTCTTGCAACTTTAAGCCATAGTATTCGTCTTGAAAATCTGAAAGAATAGGAATTTGATCATTTAGATTAATAGTTAATATTGTTTTCTGATATGTAGCTACAACAGTATATAAAAATCATAAATTCTATAACTTCATAAATTCTTGTAATCTTACATGACTCAAATGAACACTAAAAGCTGATGCACATTAACTTACCCACACATTGCACCATGTATAGCGAAGCCAAATGGCTTCAACTTGTAGTACCCATCAACATGTGCAAGATAATTTGGTCCATTGTTTAGATACATTCTTCTTGTCAAGCAGTGACTTGTTCTTAGATCGACTCCATCAGGATCGATTATTCTCAATAAACACAACATGTTATCCCTGGAACAGTATATATATAATTAATCATCAACGATTTTAAATCTAACCATTACATTTTAACAAAAAAAAATGAATTCAATGAAATTATGATAAATATCTTATTGATATAAAACTCATTATAAGCAATAGGCACATCGTTTGAATTCTGTTTATTAATCATAATAAGATAATATACCTTCCTATAAAGATGCCATGTTTCTGAAGAAGTCTTCGTTTCATCAAACGACACCCAAGAGTCTGTCCACTGAACATCATTTCTTCCTTTGAGTAGAATATATGTAAATCATATGAAATTTTTGACATTTGTATGAGTTAACTAAAACATAATGAGCTATCATCAAAATGTAGATGTTACTGACGATTTTTCTAGATTTGATCAATCTATCAAAAAAGAAAGATGAAATAAAACACAAGCAATATTACCTGAATAGCCCTTATTGCCATATCCACATTGTATGATCTCCGTCTTCTCAAATTAAGTCTGGTCATGGGCCTTTTCAAATGTCTACAGCTTAAGTATTTAAAAAAAAATAATGCATAAAATATATCTTAAAATGGGAGATTTTAACTTCAATCACTATTTCTTAAATAACAGATACATGTATATATATGCAAGTAGAACACGCATATAAACAATCTTTGAATGAGACTATAAATTTAATGTATAGTAACTTTATTACTCTTAGAGAAAATATTAGCCTACACAGGTACTTGTATTATCATAACTTATGACAATTAATAATACCTACCTTATTTTCACACCCTAATTACTCCAAAGAAGGAATATGATTTCTTTATTATCGTATCCGTTAAAGAAATATTCTTGAATCTTTTCGTCAACAAACGCCATGTTGTGCAATGACTGCTGGGAATGTTATCCGGTTATAGAAAGTACTAATCGATAGAGCGATGGTGCGATGACACGATGACGATAGTGCGATAAAGCAATAACGATGACACGATATAGCATCGCGCCATCAGTATCGCGCCATCGCATCATCGCTATCGCACCATTGCATCATCGCTATCGTGCCATCGCGTCATCGCGCTATCGCTTAATCGTACCATCGCATCATCGTCATCGCATTGTCGTGCCATCGCATCATCGGCATCGCGCTATCGCACCATCGCTTCATCGTTATCGCACCATCGCTTCATCGTCATCGCATTATCGCGTCATCGCACTATCGACTCAAACCTCGATGGTGCGATGATGCGATAGTGAACTGCGTGGCCCTATCCGGATTCCATAGTTTTGAAAGGAATATTCTGTGAAAGGCTACTTGTGATCAATTATAGTGAGCATATTGGTGTCTGGGAATTTTTGTATTCATGAGAACCCATATTCCATGAGAGGAAAAAGAAACACATCCGATGTTTGATAATAAAAAGTTGGAGGAATTTTGGTCGGAAAGGGATGGATGGAGACACTTTTCCGGACCAGTTAACTTGAAATCAAGTATAAAATTTGATCAGAAACATAAAATATACGATTTCTCTTTTAATGTGAATTGATGTTACATGGATCTCAACAACCTCGTTTGAAGTTAGTGTTTCATAAATTTTATGGTCGTTATGATGACCTTGCTAACAAATATAACCTGTCACTGTTAGGCTTTTTTAATACTAAATTTGACCATTGAATATTCCGTCTACCTGATCAATACTAGGGCTCATGGCGGGTGTGAGCGGTCGATAAGGGGATGCTCCCTTCACACTTGCAACTGATCTCACCGTGGAATTTTCGGGGGTCCGTGTTTTATGCCCTGTTCACAGATTTGTATTATTTTTTTTAGAACATTCATTGTTTATTATCTTCACCTTTTACTTTCATTTATGTGGTTTAGTGTGCGTGTGTGTGTTTATAGAAGTATATATGAATGTCTTTATAGAAGAACTTATCAAGTTGTGCATACAGAATTTTTAAATTGAATTTAAAGATGAAGGGTTGTTGTGTGCGCTTTCCTAATTTTTAAATCTCATGAAAAGATGGACTATTTTTCGTTCAAAAATAGTATTCACTTATTACCCTAGTAAGTAATAATTTAAATGTAGACTTCGTGAGATTTCAAATAACAAACGCCCAAGAGAATGGGGGTGTCTCCTCTTAGCAGCCCTCAAAAATACACAGCTGAATTTGAATACAGATCCAAACATAAACGTAGTCCCAATGTTTATGAAGTATTTCTGTTGATTTTTTTCTTTCTGTGCATTTTTATAGGTTGAGGGGGAGGGATGGGATACAACGATCACACAATTTGCTATTTATAAAAAAACATGGAGGACATGAATTCCCGGGTCTCTGCATACCACGAAAGCAACGGAAATTAAACCACCACGAAGATAAGTGATTTCACGGTAGGTTCTGACTTGCAAGATTTTGATGAGGTTTTCCTATATACATCCCTAACTGTAATAAGGATACTGTAATCAATGTAATTAAAAGTCATAGTTTAAAAAAGCCTATTTCTATTCCTGTGAATTTCATGTTGTACAGATATTACATCTGTTGATAGAGTTCCAAGGGTTATTTTGAGATCTTGCACTGTTAATTTAAGCCATATCTAATAAACAGATGTTTCACAATCGAAAGATAGGACCTATCACTTATTAACAACTTGTATCAAATTATAAACTTATACGTCAACCATTCCATTGTGGGCGTGGCTTTTCATCAAATGTTTTCAAGCGGAAGGGACATGCTTATTCATCGCTACAGCGGCTTAATTGCAAGTAAACTGTATACTTAAAATATTTTTTTTCAAAAGTCTCTCTCTCTCTCTCTCTCTAATTATATATATATATATATATATATATATATATATATATATATATATAGTTATTTTGAATGATATATATATGGAGATAACGAACAGTATTCAAGCTCAAAAGTCCATTAAACAATACAAAGTAGGAGCAGAGCAAACACGGACCTCCAAAACATCAGAGGTGGGATCAGGTACCATGGAGGAGTGAGCATCCCCTGCCGACCGGTCACACCCGCCGTGTGCTCCTTGTCATGATCGGGAAATAACGGAAAAATCCGTCGACAATTCAGTGTGTAAATAATTTAAAAAGAATTCATTAAAGGTGACATGGTAAAACATTCATTGATAGAGTTTTATAAGCGAATATATGCAGAACATCAATAATTGTGTTTTCTTATGCATTTATCAAGTTGAAGTTTGAACTGTTAACCTTTACGGTGTATGTAGTTCTATTTCGAGGATGGAAACCAAACCCTTACCGGTACTTGGTTTGAAAACAATATCCTATCCCCGAAAGAAAAAAAAATATTCTAAACGTAAACTGATCAAGAATAATGCTCGACGTTAATCCGGAAGCAAAAACGCTTTAATTAATTTATATCCAATTGTTAATACCTGTTCGTAACAATTTGATTTTCATTAATGTTTTTGATAAATTCTTTAGATCTTTCTCCTATTGGAATATTCCATGTCAAAAAGAAGAAGAATTGCAGAAAAAGATGTGGAAGAAACTGTGGATCCACCAAGTAAATATCAGTATCTCTCTCTCTCTCTCTCTCTCTCTCTCTCTATGTGTGTGTGAGGGTGTGTGTTTCTCATATAATTAATATACCCATTCGAGTTTTATTTCAACAGGGAGTTGCTTTGTTACGAGGCAAATAAAGTTCCAGGACCACGAATAAATTTGACCCTATGTGTTCAATAAAAGTTAAAGTTTCAACTCAAGAGGATTACTATGATTTAAATGTTAGGGACAGCACGCTTCTTTTCCATATGTACAACATTTGCTCAATACTGCAACATAAGCCACGCATGACTCTTCCAAAAGAGAAACGTTAAAATCGTTCACAATGCCTACTTTTTCGACAGATATTTTCAAAATTAGATCTGACAACAGTCAACTACTTTCATATTTATCATATGTAAAAATACATGTCACAGATAATTGCGTAACAATATACAGTGTTTAATCTAAAAGAAAAAAAAAACCTTCAAACAATACAAATCCAAAGTCGTTTTTTTAGTAAAATTTCTTGGAGTACATATGACATTCAAACATGTATTAATCATTATGTCCTGCAAAATTCATTGACCGAAGGTATAATTTAAGAACAGGATTGGTTTATTTTTTTTAAATAGATGTGTTTGATGGATTCCATTATTTTCAAAGTAAAGAATGGGTATATTTTTAAATCCAGTCCAGAACCATTTTTTCCCAATTCCATTACTCATACTACTGAAAAGGATTAAGGGTGAGGTGGGGAAGTCAACCATTTCTGTACTAGTTTTCATGAATGTATCCAGTATAATATACACAAGGCATTTTTCCATAGTCCTAAGTGAAACACATGTTTACCGGGTGCCCGATTCTTTAACAACGTTGATCACTATTCTAAAGAAATAACAAGACTCAGAAAGAAACGTGGTCTAACCTTTTGTGCTGATCTTCGTTTGGAAATAATTGTTTTTGTTCCTTTTAAAGGTGGTTACGTGGAGGATATAACCATTATCGGGGCTGGTATCGGGGGTACCTACACGGCATGGAGTCTTAGAAACAAAAAGCCTCCGTATTGGCATTTATGAATACTCTAATCGTGTCGGAGGCAGGATGTATACGAGAACTTTTCCAGATGCCCCCGACCTTCCCGTTGATTTTGGCGCCATGCGGATCAGACCTGCAGAACACGTGAGGATGACGAAAGCCGGGAGAGAATAAGGATTAACATTTGTACGTTTTGTTGAGGAAACAGGGCGGATCCCGGGACGCACTGAAATGTACTTTGTGAAGGCATTATATTCATAAACATTCTTTGTAAAAATATTTAGGTCACTAATTTTATATTTGAAAACGTATTCTATTTATGACATTTAACCAATACCTTATATATTATATTCGTTCCTGATTTCACATACAGGAATATGTCATTCCAAGACATAACTTCT